GCGTCCCACATACAGCAACTAGAAGGATGTGCAACTATGACATACAACTATCTACTGGGGCTTTGGGGGAAAAAATAAATAAATAAATAAAATTATAAAAAAAATAAAATAAATTTCTTGCTTAATTCTCACAGTGAATATGATGGAAATTCCTCATTTTACAAATGAGGAAATTAAAGCCTAGACAAGTTAAGTTACTTTCTCAAATGCTGGGCTAGGATTTAACCTGTATCTAATTCCAAAACCTGTGCTTTCAACTCGTTATAGCCTCTAAATAAGACAATTGTTTAATTACTGTCAACATAAAGCCTTCAACCCTGGGTGATTTTATTTTCATATATTTAATATAAAATTTTTGTAAGCCAAGAAATTTATATTAAATTCCTTTGCTGTCATTGCTTCTTTTGTGTTTTATTTAAATAGGCTAATCAGGCGGCCAAGAAACCAAAAGTAGATGGACAGGTATCAGAAACGCCACTTCTTGGTTCATCTTTGGTCCAGAATTCCATTTTAGTAGATAGTGTTACTGGTGTGCCTACAAACCCAAGTTTTCAGAAACCATCTACATCAGCATTCCCTGCACCAGTACCTCTAAATTCAGGAAATATTTCTGTTCAAGACAGCCACACATCTGATAATTTGTCAATGCTAGCAACAGGAATGCCAAGTACCTCATACAGTTTGTCGTCACACCAAGAATGGCCTCAACACCAAGAATCAGCAAGGACAGAACAGATATATTCACAGAAACAGGAGACGTCTTTGTCTAGTAGCCAGTACAACATCAACTTTCAGCAGGGACCTTCTATATCACTGCATTCAGGATTACATCACAGACCTGACAAAATTTCTGATCATTCTGCTCTTAAGCAAGAATATACTCATAAAGCAGGGAGCAGTAAACACCATGGACCAATTTCTGCTACTCCTGGAGTAATTCCTCAGAAAATGTCTTTAGATAAATACAGAGAAAAACGTAAGCTAGAAACCCTTGATCTGGATGTAAGGGATCATTATATAGCTGCCCAGGTAGAACAGCAACACAAACACATGCAGTCGCAGGCAGCCAGCAGCAGTTCTGTAACTTCTCCCATTAAAATGAAAATTCCCATCACAAATACTGAAAAACCTGAAAAATACGTGGCAGATAAGAAGGAAAAGAGTGGATCGCTGAAATTACGGATTCCAATACCACCCACTGATAAAAGTGCCAGTAAAGAAGAACTCAAAATGAAGATAAAAGTTTCTTCCTCAGAGAGACACAGCTCTTCTGATGAGAGCAGTGGGAAGAGCAAGCATTCAAGCCCGCATATTAGCAGAGACCATAAGGAAAAGCACAAGGAGCATCCCTCCAACCGCCACCACCCCAGCAGTCACAAGCATTCCCACTCACACAGTGGCAGCAGCAGTGGTGGCAGCAAACACAGTGCTGATGGAGTACCACCCACTGTTCTGAGGAGTCCTGTTGGCCTGAGCAGTGATGGCATTTCCTCTAGTTCCAGCTCTTCAAGGAAGAAGCTGCATATCAATGATGCATCTCACAACCACCACTCCAAAATGAGCAAAAGTTCCAAAAGTTCAGGTAGTTCATCTAGTTCTTCCTCCTCTGTTAAGCAGTATATATCCTCTCACAACTCTGTTTTTAACCATCCCTTACCCCCTCCTCCCCCTGTCACATACCAGGTGGGCTACGGACATCTCAGCACCCTCGTGAAACTGGACAAGAAGCCAGTGGAGACCAACGGTCCTGATGTCAATCACGAGTACAGTACAAACAGCCAGCATATGGACTACAAAGACACATTCGACATGCTGGACTCGCTGTTAAGTGCCCAAGGAATGAACATGTAATCCATTTGTTTAGGTCAATTTTTCCTTTACTTTTTTAATTTAAAAATTGTTAGAATGGAAAACTTTCTCCTGATCTAGCAGTGGTAACACCTGCTCTTGCTGCCACTGCTTCAATATTTGTAAGTGCTGCTTTATTCTTCATTCTGAAAAGAAGAGATTATAGTAAACAAGTCTTTATCTCCACATATGATAGTATTATAAATACTGTAAAAAGCATGGAAGGTGCGAAACTCAGTATTTCTACAATTGCAGCTAAGAACATTAGGATGAATGGCTGGCTGCTTCTAGGAATATAAGATGCCTCAAGCATTCGTTATTTATAATTTGAATACTGTAGCTATTTGTTGTTGCTTGGCTTTTGAATGAGTGTAAATTGTTTTCTTTTGTGTATTTATACTTGTATGTATGATTTGCATGTTTCCAAAAGGGATAAAACAGTGTACTGACAACTGTTTACAAGAAAGTGGAGAAAAAATGTACATACATTTTTGTATGTTTAGATATTACCATAAATACTCAGGATTGGAGCTGCTTGTAAGTATAACAATATACAAAATTATTTTATCTTGTCAGAGTCCATCACTAATCTGAAACAAAGGTGGCACTTTTTCATGTTAACCTTAAACTCTAGGCCTTACTGGAAGCCACTGAAGGGGGACACTTCACTACCAGATGGGTATGCAGTGCCACAGATGGTCATATACATGATGAGGCACTGACCTTTTGCCTTCAGAGATTCTGACCAGATTGGCTGCTGAAATAGCCCCTGATTTTCTGAAGGCTTGAAGAGGAAAATATAAAAGTTTACATACTCTTGATGTGAAGTGCATTTAAGTGTTTGTTGGTTTGTTGCAGTTCTATAAACACAGAGCTGTTAATAATGGTTATGTAGATTACTGTGATTTGAAAACTAAATTCACAAAACTTACATAGTGAAGAATTAGTTTTTTTCTTAATAAACAACTTTAACACTACATACTTCAACAGTGAACAGGGATCACTTTTCCTTTAGCATTCAGAATGACCCCATATTCTTAAACATACTCCTCCCCTGAAGCGTGTTTGTGTGTGATGCCATGTTTCTTTTTCAGGTAAATGCAGTCTTCCTTATAAAAATGAAATTAAACCTATTGCTCTCTCAGTTCTTTTATATTCTAACAATAAATAAAAAGAAAAGATCACTGACTGTGCATTGTACCTGTATTTATAGCTTCTGGTTGTCATCAGGAAGCTCTGAGAAGAAAGGGTCAGCCTCCAGGTAAACAGCTGGTGGAGGTTTTACATTTGTTTGCACATCTCAGTATATCTGTTGAGGTCAAGTTTGCACAGTTATCTGACTGCTGAACAAACAATAGACTTTAACTTGTTTAAACTTTGTCTTAAACACTAGTAATATGTCTGGTTTATCAGCTGATCTTGAATTTGTTCTGTGGTAAATCTTTGAGCTGTTGAGTATCTTTTGAGATGGGTTGAATTCAACTTCTGTTGAACTAAAAACTGTCTTAATTTTTCCTCTATGTATATGAATTATTTTTGTTACAAAGCCACTGATACGTGCACAATTGTAATTTTACTCAAGTATGTTGCAATTGTAAATATTAGAGAGTTTAATCTTGTGCTCTCCTTTTATTTAGCAATTACCTAATTTGCCGGTAGCTTTATAATTTTTTAAAGATAATTGTTTATTACTTTGTCAGTGTTGTTTGAACTTAGGATACTAGGAGCCTCTTTCTAGGGACTTTGCTTAGCTAGCATGTCCTAACATTTGTTTTTGTCTTGCATAACTTTAGTAATCTTTGTCATTACATGTAACTTTCTTGCTCTGTATGGCATATTATTATATCCATAAACATGGTAATTTTGATACAGTTATACTTTTACAGTGGTACATAATCCAAGAACTAGTATAAAATTAAGCTGAGTGCAAGATGAGGGAGGGAAGGGTTTTGTTCTTGGTAATTTAGATGTGAAACCTCTAAGGAGTTATCATGTGAAAAGACATAGGGGGGTTGTGCTACTGTATAATTGGGGATGATAATACCAGGAATTTTAATAAGATTTTGTAAAGAATATCCAGAAAAGTAGTGAACTTATTTTCAGTATGACATAGAAAACAATGTGAATATTTAAGGTCTGTGACTATACTTAGTTCACTAAGAATTTGCAGAATTGTTTTGAGATGTGGGAATAAAGGTAATTTTGTTGAATCTTTATTGGTGCTAATGATGGACAGTTAAAAAGGTAGCTAGTGTATATTGTTATGGGTCAGTACTTATTAGTACTTCCAAAATGGAATTTGAAATGCTATGTATTCACTTTTCACTCTGTAAATGTAATTCTTTATAATGACTTTATTTATTAAAGGGCAGCCAGTTGTAATTTTTACAGGATTGTGTGAGCTATTCAAACTCTTTAACCTCTGAACAGGATGTTAGCTTCCAGAACCACAATGGGGATAAATATGGAAATCCTTTTTGTTTCATTTCCATTAAATGAAAATCCTTATAATTCACTTTACCATGATTTTGCTTTAACCGTCTCATTTGCATAAAATAGTTCATCAACCTGGTCCCAGTAGGCTCAACCAAAGAAAAAGACTCCAAGGAATGGACATTATTACTGAGTCTTCTTGTAAGTAGCCATAAGTAAACCAAAATAGTATCAGATTTAGGTATGAAATTCCACATGTGCAAAGTACTGTTAAGGTGATACATTTTTGATGAGATTTTTAAAAAATATTTGAAATATTAAAAAGCATTATCTTTAAACATCCTATAAAAGAGTGATTCATTTTTCAGTTGTGTTTTCCCTAGATCATAGGTTTGTTACCTTTATGCAGAAGTACATTGCATAGAAAGGCTTTACTTCTACCTCTTTCAGCTAATTTTCTAATGTTGAGCTGTGCCCCCTAAATATTTGCCTTAGCTTCTTTAAAATACAGTATTTTCAGAACCAAAGCAAAGGAGTGTGTTTTCACGGAAACAGTCTCAGAGGCCTACTTTACAGATCTCCTGGTAGTATCTTTTAATGTTAAGACCTTGCAAAATGCCTAGTTTCTTCCTGAGGTTCATTTCTTATTGCAGGTATTTAAATACTGAAAAGTCATGTACTAATAACCCCTAGATTTATCTTTCAAAGCAGATATAGGTGCATCTTCATCTTCCTCTGGGTTTGCAGATTCATTCTGGTTAGAGTTCTTAAGAGTCAAAATTTCTACCGTGATACATGGTTTCATGCATAATTTCATGAGGGGCACTTACATTACTTTGTACCAACAGATTATAATTATGTAGGATACCTTACTTTTTTGGCCCGTCTATCCTCTTTGAACTAAAGAAATGACTAGTTGAGGTCTGCTTCAGAGAACCAAATTTAAAATGTTTTTTAGTTACCGACTGCCTTGCCTTAAAAGCATTTTAAGCACATTTTTTGGTTATATTTGTTAATTTAAATTGCTGATTTTTATTCCTTAACCAACCGTAGAAATAAACCACTGCTTATATGTGCATGACTGTTACATACGCTGTAAGTACCCTTGGTTGATTAGATATTTTAGTGTTTTGCATTTACTATGGAAATAAGTAAGGATTTTTTTTAACATGATAACATCTCTGAAAGAAGACAGTAATATCCTCAAGATTTCTCGCTATTCCCAAATTTTATCTAAACATAAAGCAATTATTTCCCACTGTAGTCCTACCACAGTTAAATTGCTAGGTGATTTTTAATATGTCTTTGCTGAGGAAATTTGAGAGCTTTTGTGACGAAGAATTCTTGATTCAGCAATCAAGATGCTTTCTTGAAAAGCAATAGGATTTACCCGGATGATCGACAAATCCCATGCTAGGGGGGAACTTAGTTCACAGGATGAGAACTAACTGAGCTCACGGGATGATACATGCTCATCTTGTGTGCCCATTGTTTATGATAGGCTGATTTAGACAGGGATTTTTGCATTGGAAAATCAGCACATTCGGACCCTGTCCTCGTATGGTGCCGAGTTATGATACCAGTGGCTTAATTTGAGAATTCACAGCAATGTTAATACCTGAAATTTGGTCGCTATAAGCTGACATATGTAAGCCAAATAATCAGAAGTTTGCTTGTCTTTTAAGAGAAGTTTGCCTCTGAAACATCTGTCTTTACAATAGAGATGATCTTGCCAGTGGATTTGGAATGCTCAAAGTGTTTCAGATCTGATACCATGCATCTGTTTTTTATCCCACAGTGTCAATTTGAGCACAGTCAGCTTTGCTTCTGACTCCTCTTCTTCTGTTCTGTATAATTTACCAGTGTCTATTCTGCCTAGCAGACTCTTCAGGTAGGTTGATAAGCAGGATCTGTTGGAGGTTGTGTGGGTAGGAGTAATTCTGTTCTTATAAAAGTGACTTAACCCGTTCGCTGTGATCCGTTTATCTGAAAACCAAATTCCGAGGGCTAATTGCCTTTAATTCCAAGTTTGGGGAGGAAGCTTCACTTAAAACCTGTTTAGTAGTTGGTTTAATTTGATTTGCCTATTGTTTGTTAAGTGAAGAGTACATTCTTATATTTAAGGTGTGTTTTTCAAGTAGCTTCACTTGGGTTTAAAAACTTCACATGTACTCTTGTGTCGTCAGCAATGATTGGGATTTCGTTTTCTGAATGTACTCAAAACCCCCGAGGACTGTTGATTAGGATGTTTGCTGATAGAAAATCCAAAACAGGAATATGTGTATATGGCATGAATTCAATTAGTCATTGAATTTCAGCTCGGTATCTATTACAAAGAATTATTAATAAAATTTGTTTATTGACAACATAAATCCAAGGCTGTAACATGTCTTGTTAATGTGAAGCAGAAATAACTTTTGGTCCCCGGGAAATGTGGGAAATAAAGGTCTCTAATGTCTGTTACTCTTTATCTGAGTAACTTCATATATCATCAAGGAGTATGGCCTCTGAGGTCATATTGTCCACATTCCAGTCTTAGCTGCGCCACTTAGTACCTGATGATCTTGGTTGGATTACTTGACTTTGTGCCTTGATTTCCTTCCCTACAAAATGTCAGTAGCTGTTCATAGGGTTGTGAGGGATAAGGCTTGGGTGATCAGGGAGGGCTAAATAGAATAGATGACACTGAGGAGAATCCTAATAGAGCTGTATTTTGGATATTAGAGGGAATGATGAAGGCCAATTCAGGTGCATTAAACTTGAGTGTGTATTAAACACTGTATGCCTACTGCTTCTAGAATTTCAGTTGTTCATTCTAATTCGTATGGGATTTTCTTGTTTAACCTCTTGCATCACCTCCACAAAAAGCAAAGAGTAATTGCAGTTATCTGAAAGATGAATTATCTATGAAAAATATTTAATCATAGTGGCTGGCCCCAGGGCCTAGTGGTTAAGTTCAGCATGCTCCGCTTCAGCGGCGTGGACCTACACCACTCACCAGCAACCCACATACAAAATAGAGGAAGATTGGGACAGATGTTAGCTCAGGGCAAATCTTCCTCAGGAAAAAAAAAAATCATACACTGCTTTAATATTGCTGCTGTCTCCAACGCCCCCTCCCCTCCACCAATTTTGCTGTACCTTCCACTTGAAAGAAAATGGAAACCTTGCAATGGCTTTAAAAAAATAGAACTAGGATAGAAAAGTTACTTCCTATAAAATGCATTTTAAGCCTAAATGTGAAATAAGTGTTTTGAAATCACATTAAAAGATTTGTCTTCATCTTATGTTGGTAACACCAGTAAGGGCTTATTTTATTAGCGTATTATAAATTACATGAGTTTTATTTAGAAATGGTACAAAGTCAGTAATTCTACTTAACCAAAGTAGTTCCATTTAATAATTCATCCTACTCCATCGTTTTTTCCCTCCTTTTTTCTCCTGTTTTCAATATAATGAAAAATATTGGACATTTTTGTTTTAGCTCTAGTATATGACCCGCCTGTTCCCTCCCTGCAGCACCACCTCCCAAAGCAACGTAGGGCCTCACTAATGAGGGTTTTTATCATATTGCCATGAAATTAAGAAGATTCTTTAGAGTTTACAAATATCCAGGCATACACCCAGCATCAGTTTTCCTTAGTTATAATCCGTAGGAGCAACTGCAAGTTTAAGTTATGGCAATAGGACAAAGTACTATAGCCTTTCCTAAGGACTGCTATGTCAACTTTTCATAGTACAATGCCATACACACTTTCTATTTCTTGTTAACTTTGTTGATTACCAGTGAAGAGACAGGCTGCCTACACCAGGTACTTTACAGTTGAACAAGTTTCTCCATTACATAGCCACTTTAAAATGAATTAATACTTGCAAGTGCAGCAAGTGTGAGGAATAAAGATGACCTGGTAGGTGATGGAGTCTTTTCACTGCTCATTGAGCAGATTGAGTGGGTTTTTATCTTGGAGCTACTCGTTACACTATAGAAGGCCCAGGACTGCTGTAGTCCAGCAGGAGGGAGCGAATAAAGCAAGTAAGTGGAATACTGCACGTTCCCCGATCTCATGCTCCAGAGCTCACTCTTCCACTATGGCAGCTCTCCTAATTCAGCCACCGAAAAATGTCCACAGTGTAAGGGCTGAAGTAGGTTAAGGTTAGGGAGATGCTGTAGAGTTGGAACTACTTTTAGAATTTTACTTCAAAACTTTTTTTTTTTGGTTGAGTTTGGGGCCCAGAGCATACAGGAAGAGTCAGTACATAATGAAATGCACTTTTGAAAGTGATTGAAAACTTGGGGCATTGTGTATCGTAAAAACGGAGGTGGTCATAGAGAGGAAGGCAATGTTGCTTCTAAGTGAAAAATGAAAAGCTTTTCACACCATTAAAGTAATCAAAATCACTAACTGGACTGGCGAATTTGTTTATCAGCATCTCAGTGTTTTGTTTGAGTAAAACCGAACAATGTAACTGATGTCCTTTATAATCCATGAATCTGGGAAGCAGCAGGTAACGGCCTCTCAAGTCAAACAGATCTGGGTAGCAATCCCAGCTCTCACCTACCAGATGGGCGGCCTTGAGAAAGTTCCTTGGCTCTGAACCCTATTGCTCATTAATTAAATGGGACTAATACTACCAACCCAAACCAGCCAGAATTAAATGATGTGCCTTTTTCTATTAAGAGCTCAGTGAACACTAGACACACACCACCCCCCAGCCCCTACCTGTCTGCACTGCCACTCTCCTTTCAGACCTAAAGGAACATATAAAGGGGGAAACCTCTGGGCAACAGTAAGAGCATACTTCCAATCTGTCGTGCCTTAAACACAATGAACGACAAAACAGAAAGCTTTTAGGACCAAAACTATTGCCTATTGAAAACTTAATACTCCAAAATTGTGTTTAGTATTCTATATCAACAGAAGAGGGGTAGGTTTGTCAACACCAACTTCGTGTGTCCATTACTGTGATTTGTACACATAGTATAAACATATCTTACTCCCTGCCCTTTCCCCATAGGGTTTAATAGGCTTGAATGTAAAGAGTTAATTGCTCCAAAATCAGATATAACCATTCAGATTTCAAAGAATGCTGAAGATCCCTACAAAAAAAAAAAAAATTAAGCCATACTTTAACAAGATGATGTTTCAGGTTATATTGATATACAAGTAAGTAAAATAAGGAACATATCCCTTAAATACCTATCATATTTGAGAAAAGAACTGTACAAATGGGAGAGATGGAAGGTATACCCACAAAGACCCATTTAAACATGTTGGTCAAAGTAAAATCTGCTTTACCTCAGCTGAACTAAATTTTGCATTTATTTTTCAAAAAATTGAAGCAGCAGCTTGATTTTGGCAAACCCTGATAACTGGTGTTAGAATACACCTACAGTTAGTTTGTATTTGTGCCACCTTGAAATGATAAAAAGTAAAAAGAATCTGTAGATATGGCTTAAACAATAGGTGTCAATGAAAATTGGTAGATGAGTGGAGTCAACAGCAATAGAAACCTGATGAAAATGCTTAGTCCACCAACAAAATAAGGGCTTATAATTCTGACAACTTGTCCATGTTGATTTTTGTGAGGTTTGCCAATGTTGTGGAAATGAAAGTGAAGAGTGACCTCAGCGGAGATGTCCTCCATTCAGGAAGTGAGCCAAGAGCCCTGAAAAAGGTTCTGTGCTGAACCACTCTCCATTTATCAGATCTAGCTTTTATCCCACCGGTTGGCTTAGGTTTAGCTAGTTGTAGATGTGGTAATGACCTAATTCACTCTGCAGATAAGTGAAGACCTTAGATCATACTATAAATGACATGGAAAGCAGCCTGAGGTTTATGGAGCCACTTTGAATAGCCCCACTTCTAGTAGGTGGAAACTTCTGAGGAGTTCAGGGCCCCTCTGACAGATGAAATACCAAGGCCCTTAGCTCTTCCTGTTCACCTGGAGGCTCCCATGATGTGCAAGGTTAAGACTGAGCCAAAGGAAACAGAATGGAGCATCTCTCTACTCCTTTTAACTTTTCACCTTCTTCTAGTCTCCTTTGCAAGAATTAAATAAGCGTCTTTACCCACCAAGCAAGAAAATACAATTTTCTTGTTTTTACAATTTATTTCAAACTGATGACATTAAAATTGACAGGCCAAAGATAAAAGGAAATATCATATAAAGCAATAGAGATTGTAATTCCTGGATAGTCAGAACTGTAAACACTGGAATAGGTTTTTTTGTTGTTACTGTTTAAGAAAACTTTCTCGTATATACGTGGGTAATTGCGACTGAAGCTTGAGGAAACTAACATGTAACAAACTTTTCACTTAGTGACACTGCAGGATCTGGTTAAATTGGGTTAGACGGACTTTTCAGTAGGAAAACAAAGGTCGCTTCACCGTCATTCCCACAGTGAAGCAATAATGGAGTATCTGTGATGGAACTGGGAAGAACATCTTCATGTGTGTTCAGTCACTTCTCTTCAAGAAGGAGTGCTCCAAGAGCTGGACGGCGGAAGGTCGCTCACGCTGGTCCCTAAGAAGGGAAAAACACATCAGAAGCAGCCAACAGTGTGCCTGCCAACTGGATCTACTTGATTCAACGCCAACTTTAAAGATGGAAGTACAGCCTCTGCCAAACAGACTTGGGTTGAGTCCAGACTCTAGTTTTTAGCTGTGTGATCTTAGGCAAGTGACTTAAACTCTTTCTTCATCAGTAAAATGGGGATAACAATAATACCTAACTCACTGGGAAAATTAAGTAATGTGTATACAGGTTTTAAACAGTGTCTGGCAAATAGAAATTGTTCAAAAAGTAGTAACTATTATGATTAAAAACTAGGCCCTACTTTTCAATTATACTTTCGTTCAGTTTGGGGTATAATTTATACACAAGTAAAATTCACACTTTTAGATGCACAGTTTAATGCACTTTTAAGTAGCATTAAATTTACTTTTAAAATTTAAAGACATTGGAATCCAGAGTTGGAAAGCCTTTAAGAAGTAGACATTTAGGCGCTGGCCGGGTGGCGTAGTGGTTAAGTGCACGCGCTCCACTGTGGCGGCCTGGGGTTCAGATCCTGGGCGCGCACTGACGCACCGCTTGTCAAGCCATGCTGTGGCGGCGTCCCATATAAAGTGGAGGAAGATGGGCACGGATGTTAGCCCAGGGCCAGTCTTCCTCAGCAAGAAGAAGAGGATTGGCAACAGATGTTAGCTCAGGGCTAATCTTCCTCACGAAAAAAAAAAAAAGACATTTAAACATGCTTTGGTGATTAACTGAAATAATCCCATTTGGAGGACTCTTGGACGAGCATAAAGTAAAGGAGATAATTGCTCAATTAGTAGAATTGTGGTTTAGTTTTTTTTCTCAAGAAATCGAAAAGCCTTTGCCAATGAACCAGTCAATGAACTAATAAACCAGTCAATAGTTATCAGCAATGACCTATTCCAAAGGCAGTCTTTTGCTTAAATTGGCTATCTTTGGATAATTATGGAAGCAAATGACTACCAAGAATAGCCCAGGTGAAAATGGAAATAAAATACTTTAAGACAGTGACCAGAAATCATTTCGAAATCAAAACTTCTACCCTTCTGGAGGTTCTTTCTCCTGACTTCAAAATATGCAGAAATCTCTCCTCTCCAAAAATCCTTTCCTTAACCTGGCTACCATTTCTAGCTGCCATCCTGTTTATTCTACTCCTGCCAAATTTCTCTAACATGGCCAAACCCAGTGACTTTTTTTCAACATTCATTATCCTAAATCCTTAACCATTCCGCCTACTCCTCTCTCTATAGAAATCGCCCTCTTAAAATTAACCATGACCTTCTCATTACCAGATTTAAGGAGCTCATCCTCCTTATCATCTCTGTGGCATCTGAAGTATTTACTACCCGCTCCTTCCTGAAACGACTTCTGCTTAGACTTAGGGGAAACTGTTCTCTTGGTTTTTCTTCCACCTTTGGGCAACTCCCTTTCCTCCCTCTCTCTCTCCTGCCCTCCTTCCCTTCCTTTCTTCCAGTTACGTGCCAGACTTGAAGCTGTGCATATTCTGTTATCTTCTCCCATGAGCATTTTTAAAAATGTTTTCCTCAGCCCTCTAATTTTTTCATGACTATTGCTACCAATCTTATGATTTTCAAATACGTACCTCCAATCTTAATTCCTTTCCTGAGCTCCAATTTCATAGCTTCAAATGTTTCCTTAGATGAAGGAGACCCTCTTCAACTTCCTCCCCTGTTCCTCTTTCATGACTTTCTATTATAATTTCTTCCATTATCCAGACACAAAACCATGAGATCCTCTCATCATCCATCACCAAGTCCTGATTCACCTTCTGAAATGTTCCGGAATCCTTTTTACAGTCCCACTGCTCCTACCACATCGAAGTCCAAGCTCTGGATGCCCACATGACCTTCTAGTTTCAAACAACCTCCGTTCGAGGTCTTTCAGTACACTGCCATCTGACCTGCCTTCCCAAAGACCTTTTTCTTCACGGCATTCTCTACCCTAAATACTTTGCAGTCCCTTGCTCTTCACTGCCTATTGCAGCAAAGCTAAACTTCTTGGGCTGACTGCCCAGAACTTTAAGTCTGCCCATGGGAATACCCTTTACTTCTTACTTCTCTTCCAAATCCATCTCTGTTCTAGTCAGTCTTTGTTCCTGGTCTACACCTCATCATCTCTACTTCCGAATCTTCAAGAGTGCCTTACCCTTTTATTTCTGACTATCTATACCTCCAAGGAGTATTGTCATAGACATCAGGTGAGATTCTAGAGTCCTTAGGGTCTTTGCCATGGAATTTCAGGAGGTAATTACACGCTTGTAGATGACACTAATTAGCTAAGGTGTATTAGTATTCTCCTTAACCGTTATTAATTATGGAGCCCTAATTATGTACCCCACACTCTGCTAAGCAATTTACATACACCATTTCACTTAACCTTCACAACAGCCCTATTAATCGATTATCAGTGGTGTAGGTTGTGTATTGCTTAATTTATGAAGCAGTGGTTCAAAAGGAGAGCCATAAAAAAGATTCCACCGTTTCTCTTTAAAGCTCTGTGTGTGTGTGTGTGTGTCTGTGCCTGTGTGTATGAGTAATGATAACTTAAAAGAAAATGAGAATAGCAAGCACTTTCTGTGTTTCTGTGGATCTATGATAGATAATTGTTCAATTAAGAACAAAGAAGCTACAATGGTTTTAAGAGCTAAAATCAATCTCCAAAACTAGTACTGGTCCATGTGATATTCCTAACACTTTTATGTGTTCTGGGGTTCTTTAGTGGGAGGAAGGAGCAGCTCTGTGCCTGGGGCTCTGTCCACAAAATCCATGCTGGAACACCCACGGTGTCTCTGCATCTAGGGATGCCCAGAACTGCACCCCTGGAGTATGTGCTCCTGCCCTGGCCCATGTGATCCCCTGAAACCAACCAGGATAGGCTGATAGACACATGCTGGAAGAGGGAGACAAAGAGTCTGAAAGAGAGGCACATTCATAGGCAGAAAGGGAGACCTGTGGGTTCTGAGATTCATTAACAAAGACAGAATGGACCCCCTGGGAGTTGGAGGTTGCCATACATGCTTGCTGAAAGCTGAGGCACTAGAATTTTTCATCTAGGAATAAGAACATACTTCCATGAAGGGGCAGAAACCGTGTTTGGGTCCCAGGCCTTCCTGATCTTGAACATGCAACCAAATGTTGAACCTCACTAGATGGGTAGATTCTATGCTGTTCTGCATCATCCTGGAGGCCAAGTGGGTGGGCTCCAGCACCCCTACCTTACTCTTAGCTCCCCACCATACAGGCACACACACGTGTGCACACACACACGCACTTTAACCAGAATCATCTCTCCACTTTTATGTTTTATTCTTTGAATGAAGATCTTATATGGAGAGTGCCTGGCTAAAAAAGGTTGAAAACCACACAAGTGCATAATCTCTAAGGTCCCTTATAGTGCTAACATTTTACCCAGAATTTTATTCCATAGATACTAAGGGGCATCAGGACAAGAGAAAACAGACAACTTTCGGGGGCTTTTCTGCTTTTCCAAATCCTCCCCCACTTAATGCTTGAAACACTCCAATTAGAGATTTGTTCCTTTGGCTCAAAATGTTTCCCCTCACTTTATTTTTTGTTTGTTTGCTTTTTGTTTGTTTGTTTTGTGAGGAAGATCAGCCCTGAGCTAACATCCATGCTAATCCTCCTCTTTTTGCTGAGGAAGACCGGCTCTGAGCTAACATCTATTGCCAATCCTCCTCCTCTTTTTTTTTCCCCCAAAGCCCCAGTAGATAGTTGTACGTCATAGTTGCACATCCTTCTAGTTGCTGGATGTGGGACGCGGCCTCAGCATGGCTGGAGAAGCAGTGCATTAGTGTGTGCCCGGGATCCAAACCCGGGCCGCCAGTAGCGGAGCGTGCGCACTTAACCGCTAAGCCATGGGGCCGGCCCTCCCCTCACTTTAAATGCAAGTATTTCTGGGAGAAACAATACATTAATTCTGTCAGTCACCAGTGAATTAATTCATATCAATCCCTCGATGTGAATGAATTTCTCACATACTTTCCTGAGAGCTGGTTTTAGGAAGGAAATGAGAACACTGGTTCCCTGAGAGAAAAGGCAGCTTAGGAAAGGGAAACCTAAGCACAGGTGATATCATTTCACTGTGTAAGTAGATCTTTAGCAATTTTTGCCATGCATTGATTTGGGGAAGTAGTGTCAGGACCTGATAAGACATTTAATTGAGGCGCTCTCTACTTGAGGCATTACCTCCAATCCTGATACACCAAGGAACACAGTCACCCAATATGGCTAATCATGATTCCTTTCAGCACAAAATCACTCCCTACTCGATTTCATAGCCCCAGCAGAGCTTTTAATGGGCCATAATTTACAGGGGAGATGTCAGCTGCTTAAAATCTCTGGGGATTTATCCTCCTCCTGCTGCTTTCACTTTCTTACCTGGTCAGGCAGACACGCACGAAGTCTGCTGCATTTTCTGAGAAGCGTTCTGGTAAAGGAGGCATTAGCCCTCTGTGTGCTCCAATGTAAAACATGGCTGCTATCCTGTCCATGGAAGCCAGTGGAGGCTTCCCTGTGGCCATCTCAAACACAGTGCAGCCAATGCTCCAGATGTCTGACTTCCTTCCATAGCCAGACTCGTTGATGACTTCTGGGGCCATCCAATATGGAGTCCCATGCATGGACTTAAGCATGTCACTATGGGTGCCATTTAAGCCAGCCCAGGCCAAACGCTTGGCACAGCCAAAGTCGATCAGCTTTATTATTCCAGTTGGCATGAGCATAACATTATTTCCTTTGATATCTCGATGCACCACACAGTTCTCATGGAGATAAGCAACACCTTGCAGAATTTGTTTTGTATATTTACAGAACACCATCTCAGGCAATGGTCCAAAACGGTTTATAATACTAGAGATTGAGCCACCTGGAACAAACTCCATGAAAATGCTTACAATGTTCTCTTCCAAGCATGTCCCCAAATAGGCCACAATGTTGACATGTTTCAGTGCTTTGAGCAAATCTACTTCTTCCTGCAGTTTCTGGTATTCTTTTTCAGTAGCTAATTTTTCAGAGGTATCCAAAGCCACCTGTTTTACAGCTATTAGCTGTCCTTGGCTAGTTAGACCACAATATACCTAGAAGCAAACCAATACCTTATTATTAAATGTAAATGATACAACTTGTTCACAAAATGCCTCATGTGACACTTGTCTTTCCCTTCTCTTCTCAAACCCTTGTCTTTCTCTAAGTTCATACATCCCTACCTAAATTCAAAGTACTTAAGTAAATTCCATGTTTCAATGGAGCCAAGATGGGATGAGCAGCTTGGTGAATGGATAATGACTTGGAGTCAAGTGGCCTGGATTGGTTAGAATCCTGGCTTCACCATTCTCTAGCTGTGTAACTCTGGGTAAGTTGTACAGCCTTTTTGATTTCAGTTTTTCTCATCTATAAAACTGAGGTAACAGTACTTACCTCACAGATGTCCATGATGACTACATGAGATGGTGACTTGGGAAAGTTCCTCACCAAATAAATTAAATAGGACTATTTGAGTGCTAAAGCTCTAAGGAGAGAGAGGAAGGCAGGTCCTGGGGCAATTCAGCAGTCACTCTGTCATGTGATTTCAGTGTCTGCATGTCTTCCTACCTTCTTACTGATTCCTGCAACGTCCCCAGCTAGAAACGTTACATGTCTTATCTGGGGGCCAGTCTTTTCTTTACCAATCTATGTAAATACTACCTAAAGTGCTAGATGGTCTTTTATGCAATTCACAAAATGTAAGGAATATCTTTTGTTTTTGCCACTCAGCAATGATTCTCCCAATTTCTGGTAACATATCCTGAGCTGTTGAACACAAGACTTCTTTCCCACTCGACTTGGACCTAGGATAATGAAAGGCTAGAAATGCATTGGCCATTGTACTACCACATGGAGCCTGAGAATGAGAGTCAGAAGGAGGACATATGAGGCCAGATCCTCATGACATTGTTTGACCCCTGAAACCAGCTGTGCCCAGAGCCAGACCTACTCAGACCCTTCAGTTACATAAAGCAGTGACCCTCCTTTTCCTCAAGCCAGTTTGGGTTGGCTTTCCTGTTACTTCCAACTGAAAGAGCTCTAAGTAAAAGAGTATGTGGGAGGATGGGGAGGGCTCCAGGGAAGAGGGAGGGGTCAAGGAGCAATTGGGATTTTTGGTTTTGTGGGAGATCAAGATTTGGCCACCCTGAAATCTATCTCTTTACCTTGGTTGTTTTCTCTGAGGACATTTGACCTCCCCCACTAACTGCCTAAAGAATTTGACATGGTGGCTCCTTCCTGGAACAGATCTATCATGATGGCTGTAAAGATAACGTAGGGTAAATGTTACAATAGAAAAGGCACCAACAAGCCCCTCTTATCAGAACTTCTGCCTCTCTGGCCACATTCTCTAGATGACCCTGCAGAGGAGTTGCCAGACAATCATTTACATTTATAAGAGAAATCTCCATTTGTAAAGGTATCTCCCTCTCTGTTTTGAGAAGAGAGGGGGATGGCCTCATTTCTAGAGGCTTATCAATGTGAAAGGTGAGGCCTTGGGGCTGCATAATAAACCTTACTCTTGTTTACTGTGCTTTAGTGGTAATCTCCTATAACTGACTCCCCCCACCCCAAAATCCTCCTTTGTCATTGGCTGAACATGGTATTTAAGACGAGAATTTCTGCTATTGTGTTGAGAAATGCAGTGTCCCTGCTTTCTCCCATGTATACATGTTATTAAACTTGGTATTATTTTCTCCTGCTAACCTGTCTTGTTAATTATTTGGCCAGCCATAAGAACCTTAAGGGGAAGGGCAGAGGGAGATTCTCCCTCTTCCCGCGACAGTTTCATTGTGTTTTCCATTTAACTTACTGTGCCATAGGCTCCCTTCCCAAGGATCTCACCCTTGGTCCACAGGATAGGTTCTTCATAATTTAAACTATTTTCAGAAAATGTCTTCTTTTCATTTGAGTTGAGAAATTTCTCCTCCTTGTCATATATCCTGAACCCATTACTACATCTCTGGAAGAATGAGACAAAAAGAAAAGTCACCATACAACTCTGAGTCCTTGGAATGGAGAGAAGGGGTGGAGAGTAAAGTCTTCCTTTCTTCTAACTTAGGACCAACCAGAGAAAGCCAAATATGCACCCCTCACCAATCACATAGGAGGCCCTTTCTAGTCAGCAAGGCTACGGCTTCCCCAGGATAACAGCTTCCAGTCAGGGCATACCTGAAGCCTTCCCTTTTCCCACCATAAATCTTTCCCACTCCTCTGCCTACCTTTGAGTCTCTGCCAAACACAAGGGATGGTGGCTGACTCCTTTGCTATTGTGAGCTCTGAATAAATAGCCTTGGTCTGTTCTTCATTTATTTCCACAACACACACATACACTCAAACACACACATACATACATAAGCATATATTCATACACTTACATACACATATACACATTTACACACAAACATACATACAGCTGGATACTCTTTCTCTTTCTGTCTCTCTCCTCCTCCCTCTCCCTCTCGCACACACACACACACACACACACACACACAGATGCGCACAAGCATAGCCATAACAAGCAAGTCTGGTGGTCAAGACCAGCTGCAATAGATTGAAGATCCATGGCCTCCTAGACCCTTGCTACACAAAGGAGAATCTGCAGCCCAGCTGTATCAACACCACCTGGGAGCTTGCTAGACATGCGGAATCTCAGGCCCCAGACATACTGAATCAGTGTCTACATTTTAACATGATCCCCAAGAGATTTGCATTCACAGTAAACTTTGAGAGGCCCTGCTCTAGAAGTCAGGAAACAAGTATCTCTTTGTAGAACTTAGACCATGTTTTACAATTGGTTGATCAGGACTCAAAATGCTTTGTTTTGATCTCCTCTACTAGTTCTTAAAAATAAATGATGATGGGGACTCAGAAGCATGGTGAAGGCCCTTTATGAACAAGACATCCTGCAGGGTCACTTTCCTCACGAATGAGCATGCGTGCCTCCAAAGGGCCATTTGGGTTTCTCCTCCCCATCCTCTCATGTTTCTACCCAGACTGAAATTTAAGGACTGCTTGGGAAAGAAAAGGTCACAAAATGTCAGTTTTTGACTCCATGACTGCAGAGTGGGGTTACAGGCTGATTATATTTACTAGCTTGTTCGCTTTTCTTTTGAAATGGCAGAGTGGTAACCCATATCAGACACACAGGCGTGCACAAACATAACCCCATCTCCCACCCCAGCCTGGAGGCTTCTCTGAATCACTATCCACCTCTCAGCAGACGCCAAGATCACCACGAGGGTGGAGCTGGCCTTTTAGGACAAGGAATATTCCTATCATAATTAAGTACTTAAGCATGTGGGTCTGGAATCAGAATGCCTGGCTCACCACTCACTAACTGCATGACTTTCTAAACCTCAATTTCCTCATCTGCAAAATGGCGACTTATTAGTACCCTTAGTACTTACCTCATAGAGCTAGTATGAAGCATATAAAGGAGATAGTACGACATCTCGCTCACACACGGTAAGTTCTCAATAAACCTAACTATGGTATAAGTATTTACCTTTGTATATTCTTCTGATCAACTATTTAAAATCATTATTCCTGATCCTGATATAGTGTGATATAACCTGAGTTAGTGTTCAATAAATATTTCAGCTAAACCTACTATTTCTGTCTTTAAAATTTGAGTAAAACAGGAGACTCACGTACTTCAGTGAAAACTAAGACAAACAAAACTCAACTTTCTGTTGATATTCTCCCCTACCCCCCCGACTCCCATGCCAAACAAATTAAAAAAATTTTTTTTCCAAATTGTTGCTTATGTTTCCTTGAGAGCTATGGCTAAGCCTTATACCCCACCATGTCTGTAGTTCCTTAGCCCAGTGCCAGAAACACAGTAGGCATCAACAATATTTTTGTGTTAAAGTAGTGAACTATCTGAGAGCAAATGCTCAGATGCAAGGAATCTTTGAGAAATGGTCATTTCATGTCTGCATACATTTTTTTTGGAACTAGATAGTGAACTACTTCTGGGGCCACGTTAACTTCTTTCTATCTCACACACTACCTAAAGCAAAGCTTTACTCATAATTTTCTCTCTCCTGATATTTGGTGATTGCAAATGAAACTGGGAGCCAACTTGCTTTAACTATACTCAGTTGTTTGTTTGCAAAAGCGGTTAGATAATGCATTACTAAGGCCCACCCTATAGATAACATCTCTGAAGCTTGGGTCACCATGGTAACGGGTGCTTAAGTTGTTTTTAGTTGATCCCTTGTATACTTCAGGCCTGTTAAGACCACTGACTATGAACTGGGCCTGTGCAAATGCCTGATAGGTGACCCTTTGACATCAGGGGGCCAAAAACTCCACCCTCAGATCATGCTAATGCCACCATCTTGTGAACATGTGTCCTATGAAGAGCCATGAAGCTTGACTACACTTGCCCAGATCATCAATTCCCTCACTTCTCCTTACCTCCACTCACCTATTCTCACACTTCAGAGCACCCTGTCCCTAGAGCTCATAAATATACCTAATCTCCATTTCGGGGAGGCAGATTTGAGACTTGTTCTCCTGTCTCCTTGCTTGGCTGTCTTATGAATAAACCCTTTCTCTGTTGCAAACTCATTGTCTCAGTGATTGCCTTACTGTGCAGTGGGCCAAAAAAGGCTTGTTTGGTAACAGAAAACATCATCATTGAATAAAATATTGACCTATTTAAATAAATAGTATTGCTATATTAATGTACCCAAAGTGATACCATTACAGTGTCAAGCTAGCTAAATTCCAGAAGTAAGTAAGCATAACAAAAACATCTTAGCCTGAGAGTTAGGGGACCTGCATTCCAAACTTACAACCAAACAATGAGTCCTTGACAAAACTATTTAATTGTTTAGGATTTCTGATTCCTCATTTGACAATAAGGGGTTTGACCCAGATTGTCTCTGAGGTCCCTTCCTGCCCCAATGAATCTCTGATTATAATTATACCAACCTGTATGTTGACATTTGTTGTCTTTCCACCCAATTCTTGCATGGTATTTCCTCTCCTACTGAAGACAAGATTTAGGTTTTCATGATTTGTTTCATTTGCCATTATGTGGCAAGAGTTGTTATCTTTCTCATCAAGAGCTAATAGTTCTGCAGCTAGACAACCTAATAGTTCATCTGTCAATTCTTCGTTCTTTGCAGAGTCTAGGATTTCTTGGGAAATTGAATTTGCATCATTTAAGATTTTTCCAAATATTTGATATGTAATTGACTTATTAGCTAAACTATCATGATCCAAAGAATGTGCCCAATGTCGATATGCTTGGAAAGATGCATTTTCTTTCTCTTGGAAAGAGAAACTCATAGGTGCTTTAGACTTATCAGAAACACTATCAAACTCTACATTGTTAGTTAAAATTTGGTTGGCATTCATTTTACCAAGAGATGCTGTACTCTTTTCTTGTAGTACATGCTTGTTGGAACTCTTCTCACTGGGCACTGCCCAGCTGTTTTCTGAAAGGACAAATGAGGTCTGGTGATGTAGCTCTTCAAGTTCATGCAGATCTCTAAGGCTCGTGGCAAGTATTTGATTGTTAGAAATGTCTCCTTCATCAGGGGAGTCTTCCACAGAGACTTCTTCAACAGTGGACAAATCTGAGACAGGAAGGAATTCATTCTGTTTAATGGACGGCTCATGAGTCTGAGCTAAGTTCATGGGCTGAACTTCATCTTTGGGAGATGGAAAGTCATTTTCTGAAGACTTTATCTGCCATTCTGGTTCTGAAGTACCTTCATCATTTTCAAAGTCTTGTAGGTTGCTACCTACAGCCTTGCAACCCTTTTCTTTAGAAATTAAAGTTTTGTGCTTTGGTTTAATGCCAAGCAAAGCCTTTGGGGGTTTAATACGTGGTCTTTTCTGAGAAAGCCTTGTTCTGCTATTGCTGCTCCTCTCACTGTGTGAAAATCGACATTTATTGGTGATATATCTGCCTGATGGAGCTGAGCATATCTCTCGGTAATATTTGTTTTCATGCTGTTCAGCCTCTCGCATGCGACAATAAACAGGGGTTCCAAACATTTCATAGATTCCAGGTCCGTTAGCAGTTGAATTGATTTCTTTGAACATGTCACTGTACTTAAGATCTAGATAATTTAGTCTTGGCTCTGTTGGTTGAACAGAGAGAGGAAAAGAAGACTTTTTTATTCCTGGATTTTTACAGATGCAAGGAAATGATTGCTTTTTAGGCTTCAGAGCCCGGTAAGATGATTGCTTCTTTTCTATCTGTGGCATTCTCCTTTGAAACTTGGGTGGTTGCCGAGGCCTGGGGTCAAGAAGCCCCAAAGCAGGGAAAACTTGGGTTTTTATGCTGGTTTTATGCATAGTAGGCTTAATGGAAACTTCAGTGGAAATCATGAAATTCTGAGGTGTCCTGTTACTGGTCTTGGTCTTTGAATCCAACTTACTTCTATGGGTTTTCATCTCATGCCTGTCATTTTCTTGGTGTGCAAGTATGTTGATGCTATTGTTGTTATGAAGGGTGCGCGTTCTTTTTTGGAGGCTCGGTTTAGCTATTGCTGGTTCCTGGGCAGTTCCATCTGCAGGGAAAGTAATGTGGATAAGAGGGACCATCCCATTCATTTCTGGTTTGGTTGCCTCTGCTATTGATATTTTCATGTTTGTCTCCACGCCACTATGACTTTCTGGGAGTTTTCCAATGTGGCTATTAGGGACTACATTGGACAAACTTTTAAGTACAGTATACTCTTCCAAAATATGATTTGGCTCAATTGCTTCACCTTTATGTACTGAAGGCCCTTTTGAATCAGCTTTATCATTTCCAGTCTCTTTATCCTGGCTTGGAGTTATTTCTGACTGCTGGGCTTCTTGGCACTTGATTGGCATGGTACGTCCAACTTCTGTGTCTTGTCCATAGTTTATGGCTACTGAACCCTCTTTCTTTCTTGATGAAAGATATTGAGAGTTCTCTTCTTCTGCTTTTCTCATTTCACTACCATAGCAGTCAATATCCACTTCCCTATCTGTAGGAAAACTGCCTTTCTTAGAATTCTCAAAAGACACCAAAGACTGCTCTTTTTCAAAGTGAGAGATTTCAATTTTGTCACATCCTTCTGTTTCCTTGGATTTCTGATTCTCCTCCATCTCCAGGTGTTGTCTGTGATGGTTATCCTTCCAAAAAGAGCACATGTTTCTGGACCAAATGGAGCTATCAGAGGACCTGAGAGTCTGATCCAAAAACACCTTAAACGGGGCTTCTTGCTGTTTTTTGGATGGTCTAAACTCATCACTTCGACTAACAGGATTTGAGAGCTTAGGTACAAAGGATATGAGGCTTGGAGCATTTCTTTCTCTCTCTTTTTGATCCTTGTGATTTGGGGGGATAGTAAGGTGACCATATCTCATGGGCAAGAGTGACAATGGTGGCAGAGGGAACTAAAAGGAAAGAGAGAAAGAGCTAATGAATGCCGAAACACAAATACACATCATGTTGACTGGTTTAAAGCAATCTGAAGAGATCTAAGATTCTCTTTAGGAATGCCTTTGAAGTACGAAGCTATCCTGGAGATCACAATTTTAAAAACTAAAAGTTCTTTCCTAGTGTTTTTTTAGAACCATGGTAAAACAATTCTTTTGAAAATCAAGGGGCCAGTCCCATGGCCTACTGGTTAAGTTCAGCATGCTCTGCTTAGGTGGCCTGGGTTCAGTTCCCAGGTGTGGACCTATACCACTTATTGGCAGCCATGCTGTGGCGGCAACCCACATACAAAATAGAGGAAGATTGGCAGTGGATGTTAGCTCTATGGTTATATTTTTAAAAGAAAGGAACTATAATGTAAACACTAAAAATGCAAGATGAGACATTTTATTTCTCTTCTCTTCTTACTTTCCATAGAATTGATCTAAGATTTTTTAAATTTCACTTAGAACAGCTTAAAATTGCTGTTCAATTTACTTTAGCAATGATCGTCAGGTTACAGACTAACTCCGAATTTGTATCCAGAACACAGCTGCTCCTCATTGTTTTGCTGAATTGTTTTTTTTGAGAGTGGCTTATAAATGTGCCACACTATACACTTGAACATTAGCAACTTGGAATAGTTTTTAATTTTCCTTGGCCCCCCAACTATTTTCAAACTAAGCTAGTTTTATCACTATCAGCCTCTAGAGGTCAGTGTAACCCCATCTATAATATTCAACTTTCTGGTTGTTAAGCTATAAACTCTTTAACTTTATGCTTCTTTTCATTGAGGCCTTTTCCTGTGAATACAGATCTGATACCTAATTATATCAGAGTATTTATAGGCATGGATCTTGAGTGGTAATTGAGACCTATATGTTTCATTTTCATTCTATTGCCACCTGTTTGTAAGAAGAAAAGAAAAAGAAAGGAACCTGACACTAGAAAGTTAGGTGTTAGAAATAGGTGAGATGTGGTGTAATCTCCTAGATTTATTGCCTAGATTATTTTCTTCCATCTCTCAAAAATAACTTGGGAAATAAAGACAGATTCTCCCTTTTTTGCTTAAACGCTTAAATCAAAAATGCTTAAACATTTCCCTAGTAGTAGCCATTTACGGGGAGTGGGGGAGCTGGGGTAGGGGGCAGCAATAAACTTCTATTTACAACACTAAGCAATACCTATGCATTTTCTCAAAGGCTCCAGGATACAGAAGAGTCAGATGGTTGAGAGAATTGCAAGGATCTTTCCAAATACTTTACCATGTTAGACAACTAGGAAAATCTTTCTACCGCTGGAAAAAATAATTACCTAATTTCTAGATATGTTAAAAGAAGACAAAACATGTCTAAGAGAACTACTCACTTCATTATACGGAGAACAGGAAACACCTCAGAAGAGAAACATACATGGCAAGGAATAATTTTCCCAGAAATTATTTGCTACTGTATACCCTACATGTGAGTTGTTGTTTTTCCAAGATGTAATTGCTGAGGATTTTGGTTCTGAGTACTTTGATAGAGTTTGTCTCTAATAATAAAAGTTCTTTGGTATTAATTCTTAAATCAAAAATGCTGAAACTCATCTTACCTCCATTCTTTGGCTACAGTACTTCACGTCAGAGATAGAAAACTCTATAACAAGAAAAAACCATAATAATAATTAGATATTCTTAGTAGTAGAGGGAACACAGTTAGTCTTAACCCAGAGTTTGGGGATGCAGCAAACTTGGTGCTGAGGTTTGAAGAAAAGTCAAAATAAAGAGTTTTTCCAGGTATAATCCATATGGAGGTAGGTATGGAATGATTACATTTATATTCTGTCTGGAAACACGAGACCTCTGGATCAGAAAACAGAGCATTTATTACTCACAGGACATCACAGGGCCAGTTTCCCACACCCCAACTCCCCATAGGGCAACACAATGAGAGCCAAGTGTAGCAGGGTTGCACCACAGGAGTGAACTGTGAAATTATGAGACTCAGAGCTTATTTAGAGTGGTTGGCACTTCGACCCATCTTTCCCTCCCAAGAAAGAGAGACCTTTACTATGAAATATAAGCAAATGTCTCCAGGAGAATGGGGAAATATGTCTCTGGGTTTCATTACCCTAGCATGTAAGCAAACAGCTCCTGGGGAAATAAGCCTCTGAATCTCTCTGGAGGAATATACTATCTCTAATTTCTAAGACACGTTTATCATTCGATCATCTTTTAACCTAGTTCCTGGTGCTTTTTGCTCAGAAAGCCTGGACTGCGCAGATATGTGAAAATACTCATGTATAATTGTCTCCCAAAAGTTGTTTGAACTCAAACATGGAATAGATCATAAATTCTAAAGGGGATGTGTGGGGAAGAGGGAGATGGGATTTACCAGGTAGTGTAAAATCTAGTTGTTGTCTTCTTACCAAAAATTCAGAATGGTCCCTAAAATCCCACCCACCACCACAGCTTGAAGCTCAAGCCAAAAGCTCCCAAGTATCCGAGGTCAAAGCAGGTCACATAAACAGAGGAAGTGGGACAGGTAGGAAGAGTGGTGAACTGAAATCATGAGCCCAACTAAAGGGACATCCACTACCCAGTTGTAACTGACGTCATCCATTCCAGATGGGTAATCCAGCATTGCTACATCTTCCAATTGTCAAGAGAAGCCAGAGAACTGGAGACGATGTGAAATCTCCCTCCCACCCCTTGCTTTTAATACTTTGAAGGCTGAACAAGATATGTCTGTGGGTCCATTTTAGCCACAGGCTGCCACTTAGAAATTTCACTTAGAAACAGACCTCTCTAAGATGTGATGCAGGTAAAGAAGCCATTCTCAGGTGAAAAATGGTCATCTAAGAAGAGGAGCCCAATAGGAGGGGCATAGGCATTCTCCTTAGCCACAGCTGGCCAAGGCACTTCCCCCAATTCTTTATCCATTTATTCAACAAATATTTTTTGAGTGCTACTGAGTGACCAACACTGTCCCAGAAGATGGCAATATAGTTGTGAACAACAAAGACAAAATCTTTGCCCTCATAGAGGTCATATTCTAGAGGTTGAGATTTCCTGTTGAAAAGATACTACAAGTTAATACAAGAAATACAACTGAATATAATTTATAGTTGAGTACATATGTATAACCTCCTGAGTTAAAAAAAATTTTCAGGTATTATCATAAATATTTGGACAAATATTATCCAGTGTTTGTAAGGAATGATGTGAGGCAGAACAGCACTCTTAAACATTTCTGGTGAGAATGTAGAGGTAAGATCTTTCTGGTAGGTAATTTGGCAGTATACGTTAAAAGTCTTTTGAAATGTGTATAGAATTCCAGTTAAAAGATTGAATGTACAAGCTTTTCTCCATTCTCTCCACAAACCTCACTAAAATGATCAGTAAAGGAATCTAAAACGGTGTCAATGATGACAACAACAAAAACTCAGAGGATCAGACAGCAGAAGAGCAATGTCTACAAAATTTTGAACAGTGAAAACCATATGGCTGAGTAATAATTGATTAGTTGTCAGATTTCTCTGTTCTGCTCAGTGCCTGCAGGAGGAGAACTCAACAAAAAATAAGAGCCCTAGAAAGGAGCAGGAATTGAAGATACCAGGTACCGCTGAAGGTGGGAATGCAGGTGAGGCTGAAACAAGGGGTTCTTACAAGTCTGTATAAGGAGTAGTTTCCAGATTCCCTGCCCTGCCCCACAAGTTGAGAGTTGTACTTCTCCATCACTGGCAGATGGCTAGAAGTTTACTCTCTGGAGAGCTTGAAACAAAGATGCTAAGGAGTTAGGTATAGCTGAGAGCAGAAACGGGCTGCTAGAGTGAAAATAAGAGGATTAAGTGAAAGACAAGTGAAGCCCCAGCCTTATAGTCTACAGGCAGGAGCCTGGATTATCCTTCTCTAGGGAAAACTAGCTGAGAAAAAAGCCTATCTACGCACACTGACACCTGGGGAATCCCTCACCCCACCGTCCGGGTCTCTGCCCATTCAACAAGGTCCCTGGAGCGCCATAGCCAAGGACCAACTGATATGTGAGAAAAGCCTAGTCTAGTGTGAAAATACAGAGAACCAAACAAACTGAAAGAAAGAAAAGAGCTCAGAGGAAATGGAGACAATGAAAAACTACCACTAACACACCTTTTTCAGGAAGCTACAGGAAAATGTACCCCACTAAAATGAGGTAGTAAGCCAAGGAAGAGGAGGCTGCATATCCAGTACACAAGGGTCCTACACACAAGGAGGCCAAGAGAATTTCCAGGATGATGGTAAGGGAATCACAGCTAGACATCTGGTCAGGAGGCCCAAAGACCAAGCAACACAGAGTGAAACCGGAGGGCAGAGGGTTCCAGGAGCAATGTCTCCAAAACCAAAATGAACCAATGGATTATCTGATGTGCAGATGCCTGAATTGAGGTGCACTTTACAGGTCTATCAGACAGGATGGGGATGAATTAGTGACAAACACAGAAAGTAAGCAAATGATGAAATGAGGCCTTTATTAATAAATACAGTGTCTCAAAAGAAATAAAATGTAATCATAGCACACTATGGAGTTCAGCTTTAAATAATACTTTACCTAGTCATAATAATGGAAATATTGAATATTGATTTTTTTTTTAACACAAAGATTGAGAAGACTGGGGATTGCCTGTGTGTGAGGAGAGTGATGAAAAAGTGTTAAATCCTAATAATAAGGTCTAAATTGAACAATCAAGCAATATCATTATAAACATGTTATTTAGAAATATGGAAGTACACTCTAGAAGAAACGGTCTTGGAATATCATTTGTACTTCTTATTTCCTATTCTTTATTTTTGCTCACCTGTCTTTTCTGAATGTTTCTTAATCAACATATATTGGTCATCTAATTTTTAAAAATTGCATATAAACAAATTTAAAAATGCAAACAAATACTGGTCTGGGGAACCCCAGTTGACATTTTCAGACAAGACCGTAGCACCTATGGAGCAGCTCCCATTACAGAATACTGACCTAACCAAGTTCACTCTTGGCTGGGTGTCGTTGCTTTTGTTACATCTTTGAGATTCTCTGTGGGTTGGCTGAGAGAAGAGGATGTCTCCCCGATCTCCTATTTAGTCTCTCCATCCATCCTCCCTTCAGTTTGTACCTGCACCAACTGCCCCTCCTTTTCTTTAAATCCATTTCCACTACAAGGCTAAATATGTGTATCCTCTTTTTCCATCATAACTAAGGTGGTACTCAGATGGAAGGTATGAGCTCTGAACACAAATAGCATGGTGCTTAAGCATGTTGGCTTCAGAGACAGGTGGTCTAGGTTTGAACCCAGACTTTGTTACTCACTAGCTATGTTGACTTAGGCATGAACTTAACCTCCTTAGACCTCAGTTTTCTCATTTCTAAAACAAGTATGCTAATATTACCTATATCAGTGGATATTTATGTCTTGCAATAGGAGGCACTCAGTAAATGGTTATTGTTGTTATTATTAATTCAATATACACTTTTTATTAGTTATGTGCCAGGTCTGGTGCCAGGTGTTTAGAGGTGCGATGGTTTTTGCCTTTGTAATGTGGTGAAGACAGGCGCGTAAACAAACAGTGACGATTCAGCATGATGAGTGTTATGTTGCAGGTAAGGTCAGGATCCTATGAGAGTCCAAAGGAATGGTGACTCATCCAGTGTCAGGAGGTTCAGGAAGACTTCACAGAGGAAGCGGTATCTAAGGTGAGACCTGAAGGGTGGCATAATGTTCCAGCAGAAAAAGACAGTATGTGTGAATATTCACACGTTAGTTCTTGGAATGGAAGGCATTTAGTAGTGCTAATGTTTATCACACTGTTGAGGAAGAGCGGCAAGATAGGAGGCTGAAGAGAGGATGCTGAGAGTTGGGAGCTAACTTTGTAGATTTCAAGGAACAAGACCCTGGGGCCACTACACAGTCACGACCTGATGTTAGCACCTATACATACAGTCTATCAAAACACTGCTTCAACATTATGTCAAGTGAAATAAGCCAGATACAAAAGGACAAATATTGTATGATTCCACTCATATAAGGCACCTAGAATAGACAAATTCATAGAGATAGAAAGTAGAATAGTGGCTACCAGGGGTTGCAGGGGAGAGGAGAATGGGAAGTTATAGCTTCAGTTTTGTAAGATGGAAAAATTCTGAGATGGATAGTGGTGATGGTTGCACAACAATGTAAATGAACTTAATGCGACTGAACTATACACTTAAAAATGGTTAAAATGGTAAATTTTATGTCACGTACATTTTACCACAACAAAAAAAATTTAATATTTTTTTTAAATATTTTTTTAAAAACACTGCCTCATTTAAATTTCACTTAATCTCTACTCTTCCCCAAAAATTCTACAATAATAATTCTGTTTTTTTCCTTTGTTTGGTGAGATGCCACACAGTTCCTCCGCTGTGTCATCTCTCTCATTGCAATAAGCCAATAAATGCAACTTTTTGACTACAGGTTTGTCCCTGGTGGTTTAGGCTGATTGGTTTAGGACAGTGGTAAGCAGATATCAAAGGCAGCACTGCCCTAAGGGGAAAGGCTGGCATCAGAGCTGCCATCTGGTAAATAAGTGTTGGGCTAGATAGAGTGGCAAACTCAAATTCTGAAGGAAAGCATCCTCAGTGTAAGCCCCCAAGATTCCCATAGATAAACATCAACCAAACATGAGTTCACAGAAAAGATTATCAAACTCTCAAGAAAAAGAGCCACCAATAGTGCAAGTCAGTAGAAACAAGAAACAACAAATTTAGAGCCCCCAGGGACTTCACATATTGGAATTATTGAACACAGCATAGAAAGTAAAATGTATCAGATGTCGAAAGAAATAAAAGATGGAATCATCAAAACAACAAGATATTCTCAATAATTAACAAAGACTATTTGAAAAACAAACAATGGAAATTTTAGAAATAAAATATAATGGTTAAAAAAAGTAAATAAAAAAAACAATTGAATGAATCACAATGATATACCACTATTAGCACAATGAGATACCACTACACACCCACTAGAATAGCTAATGTTAGAAAAACGGACAGATGTTTGTGAAGATGTGAAGCAACTGGAACTGTATACAGCGTTCATAGGAATGTAAGATAGTACAACAACTTTGGAAAAAGTTCTGATTGTTTCTTAAAAACTATATGATCCAGCAGTTCTATTCTTAGGAATTTACCTGTGAGAAAAGCTTTTACAAAAAAGTCTTGTACAAGAATGATCATAGCAGCTTTACTTATAATGGTAAAAAACCGGAAACAGCTCAGATGTCTATCAATAGAAGACTGGAAAAATTGTGGCATATTTGTAGAATGGAATACTATTCAGCTATAAAAAGGAATGAACTATTGATACATGCAATAATATGGATGACTCTCAAAAATATCATGCTATGTGAAAAAAGGCTTAGATAAAAGAATATGTGCTGTGCAATTCCATTTATATGAAATTCTAGAACTGGCAAAACTAATCTATGGTGAAAAAAACTCCCAACAGTAGCTGCCGTGGGGGAGGGGGCAGGTTAGTATTGACTGGGACAGGACATGAGGGAACTTTCTGCGGCTATTAACCTTCTATATTTTGAGAGGGAGTTGGGTTTCACAGGTGTCTGTAAAAACTCAGTGAATATACACTCAGTGTATAATTTTTCAAAAGAAAAAATCCATAAACATATATTGAACTCTAGTTAATGATAAGCATGCTGAAAAAATTGGGAAACATGTACTGATATCTGCAATTTACTTTGAAATGGAACAAAAAATAAGATGGAGTATGGATGGATAGGGGGATGGCTAGATGAACAGCTACGATAAAGCAAATAGAGTAAAATGTTAAAGGTGGAATCTAGGTGATGAGCATAATGGTGTTCACTGTAAAATGCTTTCAACTTTGTTGTATTTTTATTTTTATTTTATTTATTTATTTTTTTTCTTTTGGAGGAAGATCAGCCCTGAGCTAACATCCATTGCCAATCCTCCTCCTTTTTTTTTCCTCCCCCCGAAGCCCCAGCAGATAGCTGCATGTCATAGTTGCACATCTTTCTAGTTGCTGTATGTGGGATGCGGCCTCAGCATGGCCGGAAAAGCGGTGAGTCCGTGCGCACCGGGATCCAAACCCGGGCCGCCAGCAGTGGAGCGCGCGCACTTAACCGCTAAGCCACGGGGCCGGCCCCTTTGCTGTATTTTTTAAAATTTGTGTTATAAAATGTTGGGGAAAAAACTCAATGCGTGGGGTTAACAGATTAACGCGTGAACTGGAAAATTTGTAAAAATAAAATTACCCACGGGGCAGGCCCAGTGGCGCAAGCAGTTAAGTGCGTGCGCTCCGCTGCGGCCGCCTGGGGTTTGCCCGTTCGGATCCCGGGTGCGCACAGACGCACTGCTTGGCAAGCCATGCTGTGGCGGCGTCCCATATAAAGTGGAGGAAGATGGTCACGGATGTTAGCCCAGGGCCAGTCTTCCTCGGCAAACAAAGAGGATTGGCAGATGTTGGCACAGGGCTGATCTCCTCACAAAAAAATAATAATAATAATAAAAATATATGAAATAAAATAAAATTACCCAGAATGGAGCACAGAGAGAAAAGGAAATGGAAAATGTGAAATATAGGTTAAAAGATATGGAAGGTAGAAAAAGAAGTTCTAGTATATAGTCTAAGGTAGGGATTTTTAATCAAGGCCGCACATAATTCAGGAAAGATGGAAATGTAAAATATAAATTGTAATTCTGTAGCTATTCTAAAAAGCATCTGTTACAAGGCTATTTAAACTTACATGTCAGATCACCCTCCAAGGTCTCCCATGTCGCTTATAATCCTTCCAATGTACCATGTGACCCTGTATAATCAGTGCCCATGCCTATAACAGTTCAAATCCCCTTCCTCACACTTACCCCACTTGCTCTGCTCCAGCTGGACTCGTCTTCTTGTGCCCTGGAACGTTCTTCCCCCAAATATTCACAGGGCTCAGCCCCTCGTCTTCTTCAGATATTTTCTTAAGTTACCTTTTCAGTGATGCTATCCCTTGCTCACCCTATTTAAAATCTCAAACTGCCCCATCACTCTTCCCATTTATTTTTCTCCATAGCATTTAGCACCATCTGAAGTACTGAATATTTTACTTGTTTATTGTCTCTCCTTCTCCTCAATCACATTGGAATGTAAATTCCACAACATCAGGGGTTATTGTCTGTCTCCTTCACTGCTCTATTTCTAGCATTTAGAACAGTGCCTGGCACCATAAATAAATATTTGTTGACCAAAAGTATAAAGAAATCACTGTGTAATTCAGAGTTCAACTCACCTTCAGATTTTCTTTGCTGCCCCTTCAAAAAGGGAGAAACATCTTCTCTGGCTACAGACTTGGAGATGTTTGGTTCTAAGCAAGGTCTTGGCAACAAAAAGCCCAAGTTCACATCACAGAGCTCCTTGGAACTTTCCTCTTTCTTTAGAATTAAGGGCCGCGTGGTCAGCGTCTTTGTCCTGAGGTCCACCATCTCAATCTCATTTGGAAGAGAAACAGAATGTGCTCGTGCCCATTCTTGATGCACTGCAGTTATCTGACTAAAAGGGGAAGGAAATGGTTTGACTCAAAACTCATTCCCTGTGTCTTTTGGATCTCCAGTTCTCAATCCAACCTGACATCACTAGAAAGTTTGGAAAACTATTTCCAAATGGAGCTGCTGAGTGGAATGGCGGTGTTCCTAAAAGGAACCCTCTCCACCCTCCGACTCACTCCTCATCTCGTCTGCCCTCTGCAGCCCACACTTTAGTTTTCCCAGCCCCTATTCCCTTGAGCAGAGAAATCAGACGGGCAGAGGGGCAGGCACAGGGGATGCACCCTTTTACTTCTGCAAAGACATTAACCAGCCCAGTGCTTCTCAAACTATCTTTGGTGAAGTACCAGTTTTTAAATTTTCCAGTCCGCTGTGGACTTATACTTTTGTAAAATGTAATAAAAGTGAATTACTATAAAAATGAAACAAAAATCAAAAACATGAAAATAAGCCCTGATTTTTTCATTATCAGATCAATGAACATAAAATTACTTTGTCAAATTGCTATACAACTTTTTAAACATTTAAATGTCCAAGTTCTATCCTGACTGGTAACAGAAGGACCACAGACGCACATTTTGAGTGGCATGGCTCCAGGGTCAGCAAACTATGGCCCATAGGCCAAATCCGGCCTCCAGTCTGTTTCTGTAGTTTTATTGAAACACAGCTACACCCATTTGTTAAAATAGTCTATGGCTGCATTCAAGATACAATTGCCGATTTGAATCATTGCAACAGAGACCATATGGCCCACAAAGCCTAAAACATTTATTACCCGGCCCCTGCCACAATCGTATCTATTATGACCCCTGCTTTAGAATGTTTTTTCGGGTTGAATTACTAAAAATGTAGGTTGTCACACTAGTATCACTTCATACTTAAATTTCAATTTAACCTTTCAAAAAATAGTCCTTACTTGCTTTCTTTTAAATCTTCTTGGCTCATTTCTTGGGGATGACTGACATCTCTCGGGAAAGTAACAATAATCTCAACACCTATATAAATGCATGATGATAGCAGAAAGAAGAAGAAAGTAATGAATTCCAGCAGTAATGAAGAATCAAGTATTTTCTTTTGGGTTATTTGTCTAATCTGTTCTTACTGATTACAGAATGGACATTAACCAGGGACTGAGGTTTAGCCATCTTTGTATCTTTCCTGTCCAGCATATGATAGGTCCTAAACAAATGCTTGCTTAAAGAGCAAAAAATTGTATAATAAAACTTTCCAGGTGTAAAATAAAGTTTTCTGATAAGCACCCTGGAGGGAGAAAACAAGGCCTCCTCCTGTGAAGCGTAACGATGACATCTATTTCACAGGACTGTTGTGAGAATTCACATCAGATAACTATTTTGTCCCATAAGAATTTGCTCATATTTGTAACTCTGGTCATCTCCTATCTGATTCCATGGAATGATTCCCAGTATAACCCTTAAGACAGAAAGTTCCAACTTGTAGAATCAATGCTTGCCTACAATATAACATATTAAACAAATTTACATAAAAATTTATTGTGATTTTTATGTAGTACAAAATTGCCTGTACTTCATGGTCTGTTCGTCTATTCGTTTTTTTTCCATTCAACAAACTTTTATTACGTATTTGGCAAGCCCAACTCTTTGTGCTGAAGATATAGAAATAAACAAGGTGCAGCTGCGGCCCTCGCAGAGATGATAAATAAAGCAGACTATAGTGTGAGATAAGGATTGTGATAGAAGTGTGCCAATGGTGTTGTGGGAACACAGACAAGCATCCTTCCAGAAGGCTGCCGTGCTTGTCCCAGTATTCAGTCCTATCCATGTATTTGTCAGAGCCATTTTCTTCTGTCTGCATTTGCCTGTAGGAGCCATAGTCTGAATCAGCTCCACTGATCCAATGCTAGGGAAGAAGTACAGCAGAGATGATAAGAGTGGGTGTGAATCAGACAGATCTGGTTCTACATCCCTCCTCTGCCACTTCTTGGGCGACCTCGGGAAAGTTACTTATAGCTATTGTCATCAGCATTATCTCAATTAGTAGGTTTTTATTATTTTTAAAGGACTTTGGATATTTTGTCAAATACATAGGAACCACCAGAGCGAAGGCATTTTTATTGTTCAAATTTTATGCCTGCGTTATTTATGAGACTAATGTGTAAAAAAAAAAAAAAAAAAACAGTAAACATTTCCAAAAGGAAAAGTTTTATTTACAGTCAGGCAAATGATAATAGTATTTACTATCTTTGTCATCTGATATAGTTTGTGGTACCATGAAAATGTATTTAGCTTTGGTTTTCTTGATGTTTTTCAAATAAGACAACATAATTGCATGTTTTCTAATATATATGATAGCAAGCAACAGGTCTCTAAAAATGAAGTTTCCTTCGAATGCTAGATTTTTTTTTTAACTTTTCAAAGATCCTACCACCATACTATTTATGTAGCACAAAATGAGAGATTTGGAATTATAGAGCTGGAAAGAACTTAGAGATAATCTGATCCAAGCCCTTCATTTTAGAGACAAAGAAACTGATAGCCGTAGGTTGTGTGACATGTTCAAGGCCACTGCCATACTTGAAAGGAAGATGGATGTCTTTCATAAGATTTTTGTAGTCATCCTTAGGTACAAAAACCTAGCTGACATGTTAGAGTAAGAAAACCATACAGCATACATTCCTAATGACTAACCTGTCAGTGAAAAGGATGTTCTAGTACAAAGGCTAGGAGCAGTTAGTACTTTCTGTGGAAGCTAGAAAACTGTGCAGAGTGTATTCACATGAACACGTTCTTAAGAATGACTGTACTTTCACAATTATTGAGGACTAATAAACCCAGAATGTTTTCAAGGAAATTTAATGCATTCAAAAGTCTGTTAATTGGTTGATTTCTTTTTCAAACCAAGGCACAAAGATACAATAAGCAAGTATAAGAAAAATCTGCCTTTTTAGAAATTATTAGAAGCTAATGGCCCCATCCTAATCATTGGTCCTAAATAGGGGGGAAAGAAAGATTATGGAATGTGCTGACTCTGAAATCAGCTGGGAACATACAAATGCTCTCTATTTTGTCTCTTGAATACTGTGTGTGGTCGTGGGAGCCTTTGAAACTACCCAGTGGGCCAGGAAAGATAATGCATTGTCACGTGTAACAATAAAACACTTGCTCCTGTCTGAGTATATCTTTCCACATAAGAAGGTATAAATTAACCCCACTAGAAAATGTTACAGTAGAGAGAAACTAAAACGCAACATTTAAACATAAAACGCAACATTTAAACATAGTCAGAAACATAATTTCTTTGCAGAAGAGGTGAAAATGATATTGATAAAAGTCAGAAAAGGATCGGTAATTTGTTAGTGGTAAAACCATTATTAAAACGAAAACTTAAAATTGGCCCAGCCTAATTCATTCAATGAAGAAAAATGATTTTCTTTAGAAAAGTCTTACTTTCCTACATTTTCTGCTTGTTCTGTTTAAATTGATAGGCATCAAGGTTCAAAATATTTTGATATTCTCTCCATGTTTTGATAATTTCCTAAACTGTGAATTTCAACACAGAATCTTAAAACTACATTTTCCAGTCTCCTTTGCCACGGGTTCAGAAAGCTAACTTGATGGGGCTTGCCCGGTGGCGTAGCGGTTAAGTGCGCGCGCTTCGCTGCTGGCGGTCCGGGGTTTGGATCCCGGGCGCGCACAGATGCACCACTTGTCAGGCCATGCTGTGGCGGCGTCCCATATAAACTGGAGGAAGATGGGCACAGATGTTAGCCCAGGGCTAGTCTTCCTCAGCACAAAGAGGAGGATTGGCATGGATGTTAGCTCAGGGCTGATCTTCCTCAAAAAAAAAAAAAGAAAAAAAAGAAAGCTAACAGACATATTCATGTGAGGTACAAGAAAAAAGAAAAGGTGCGGGCATCCTTTCTGCTGATGTGGGTGTCAGTAGAGGGAGGAGGTTCTAAGGCTGATGTGGGACAGCTCCCTGGTTGTGGCAGAAGCAGCATGATTTGGGGGTGAGTAGTGGGCAGTTTTGAGATGTAGTTAACGAGAATTCTTCCTGACAATTTAACCTAGAGTTCTGTTCTTCTCTTTGGTTTTTCAACGGTCTATGAACTTTCTAATATCTTTTAAAACTTCCTTCCTTTTTAACCCAACTAGAGCAGATTCTGTTATTTGCAGCTAAGAATCCTAATGGATATACACTGTATTAAAAAAAGTTTTCTTTAAGCCCAGTAATTTCAGGAAATAGGTTTTTATTCACTCATGAGAAGAGTAATTTTACATGCTCAATTTTCAGTCTACCAGGTTTGCATCTCTGTTCTGTGAAAATAGCTGATTGGGGAGTGTAAGAAGATTTTTATACTAAGGAAAAGGATGAGGAATTTTTGAGCGGTCTATAAATTGTATTTTACACATTACCATCTATAAAAGCCCATTAAAAAGCAAATGCATGCTGCAGGAATACTTAGTTGTTAATGTCTGTGGGAGTGATCCAAACATTATGGAATATATACATACATTTTTTAGTTGGTGATGCTCCCTGTTTAATAGAATAATAATACAATGGACAAACAGATATAAACTAAATGATTAAATGTGTATATCTACAACAAAATAAATAGTCACATGGTATATGCATAAAGTCTTCACAAAGAATGCAAGCACTTCAAACATTAACAACTTGGAGTATGTTAGAAACAACATGTAAATGGGATTTAAAGAGATTTATTGATATTTAAGATGAATACAATGCACAAGAATGCCCTAGACATTTTTATTTCAGACTTCGTGACTAAAAGAGTATAACTAGCTCAACTGAAGACTCTATCAACTATGAGAAGAAAATTTATCAGAAAAATAATTGCTTCTTTCAAGTTTGTAACCCAAGTTATTAAAGCTTAAACCTGCAAGAGCTTACTGAAGATGCTGCATAAGTGTATGGCTCCTATATGAAAACATAATATACCACAAATCAACTTAAAAAGAAATACTAGCACCTCAAATGGCAAGTCATCTCCAAATTGAGCAGAATAAACTATTTAACCTCTTGGAAGATGCTTGGGATACAGTTGGGCTTCTGAGAACTCGGCTTTGAAGTCTTTGCAGGTCAAAGGCAGACCACAAGGACTCTTTGGAAGGGGACCAGGATTTTTTTTATTTTGATTAGGTCTTTCAGGGTTCAGGGTTCACGGTGTTAATAATTTCAAATGCTATGAAATTATTCTCTGCTCTCAGCCTGGGGAAAGGAGATTCCGTGTGTTTGAGAAAGGCAGGAGGCTCCCCAGGAGAGGGCGGCATCGCACAAGAGGCCACAGGAGGCCGTGGCTAGGACAGCACTGCAGCGTTCTGGGAGGTTGACAGGGATGAGGGGAAAAGGACATCCAAGACAGCAGCTTCCCTGGAGTCAGAAAATTGCCAGAGAGAAACTGCAGCAGTTCGAATAAATATTTAATTTAAGAAGTTTACAGGCGAATCAACAAATGCAATAGCTGTGGCAACTCTTTTCTGAATCGAGAATCTGCAAATGCCTTGTGGTCTGTTAAATGCAAGGACGCCTATGGGTATGACAGGATAACATATTTGGAATGTGTGTTATTCTGGAAAATTCCAGACTTATGGCCTCATAGAATAAAAGACTGAGACTTGGAACTTTAGTGCCTTTTTCAGTCCCCCGTCTTCCCCTCAAAAGAGGAGCTCCAGGACAACAGCTGATGGACAAATGCTTGGTTCTGGAAGAGAACAGATCCCTGGGGCTGACGGAAGATTCTGAGAGGAAAGAAATGGGGGGAAGATATTATCGAACACAAAGGAAAGGGGCAGAGAATGGCTGGCTGAGCTGGAATGGGGTGAAACAAAGAGAAGAGCCAGAAGACGGATGCCCCTTTGGTCAGGGGCAACTTGCCAAGACTCACTGATTCAGATGTGGACCAAAGGATAGGAATATGAGTGGGTTTTCTTTTCCATGTGCTTTTATGCGTTTTCAAAGGTCTGCACTGAGGAGTTCTGAAATTAGGGGGAAAATCCAAATAATCAACGTTTTCTTTGTAAACACATCAAGGACAGAAGCCGGATACCTTCTGTCCTGGGTTGCGAGTCTTGTCCATCACCACTCAGATCTCCTTCTTCACTAGCCAATATGGAATGACTGCAGTCATCGTCCTGGTCAAACTCCTGAAATATCATAAAACAAAAACTCAGTTATTCAATGTACTACTATGTTGGCAGAGTGAATGTTGATTTTTCTAGGCTAAGGTTTCACACTGTGGATTCCTTTTAAATTGGATAAAGTATTTAGGACTACAATAATGAGAAAGTATCCGCCCCCGGAGCACCAGGCTCAGACAGATGTGATTAATTGCATAATCAAAAACGAAGATCAAAGCTGAAATCACATAGACACACAGAAATTTGATATTTTATACTTGATCACGTCAGCATCCAGGCTGCTAAGCTGCCACAAATCCCATCTAGGTGGGTAACTGGAAAGAATCCTTTGGCTACAGTCACAGTGAACAACCCCAAAGGAACATGATCTTTTCCATAATGCCTCCCTCGAGCATCATTTACAAATAGTGAGGGTGGAAATCCCTGCCCCGTATGGAAGCTTCAGATATAACCCTAGACTGAAAAGAGGCAGCAAACCTGATTAAAGTTTTCACTCTGACAGCTTTCTGATCTAATCATGGCACACAGAATCTCAAACTTCCTTTATTCCTTCTAGTAAATAATCATTATGCAGAAAAACATGGTTGAAAACCAAATTGATTTATAAAAACAACTCCCCACTCTCTAAAGAAGAAATGTTTTCTTATTAGAATTCATTGTTGTTGATAGTTTCCTTCATTAGAAATTGTTACTAATGATTTTGCCCTTTTTACTGTCTAGAACAGTGACAGATGCAAGTAGTAGTCAAAATATCCCATCACAACACAGACGTTGTGTTGTGTAGTAGTAGACGGAGCTACTACTAGCTCCCTGGCTTTTGTGACTGATCTGGGTGAACCACCTATTTAAGGAGACTGTTGGATAAAAAGTCTTTGCCCTAAATGCAGATGCCTGTCAGACAAGCAGGCAGTCTTCATCACAAACCCTCTGACATTTCACTTATTAATTCCCGAGAGAGTTTGGGAATCTTTTCTTTCCTGCTTTGTTCATTTTAATTATCACAAAAAATAATACAAATAAAACCCTCCATTTATACTGCCATTAAAATACTTTAGATGGTCAATCATAATAACTTAGTTGTCCTACCTTACTTTGATGCAGCAGAACATGCTTTTTAAAGCATTTTCTACCTCCTGGCAAAGGTTAGGTGCCCTACGCAGACCATCCTGGTTGTTAGCGGCAGATGGGAGGCCTGGACTGGTTCAGCCTCATCCTACGCTGTTGTCAATTCCACTGTTTATCCTTCTCTGCATTTAAAAATTCTACCAATATCTGGCAAATTTCTTCTCCCCATCGTCCAATTACAAAGAAGGGGGGGTTATTCTTTTTAGAATATACGGAAATACAAAAAAGTATTTTTTAAAAAGCAAGAGAAAAAATCACCTATAATCCTACAAATAAAAAGCAAACATTGTGAACATAGATATCATATTTCTTTGTCTTTTTCCTAAGTATTTACAAATATAGTTGTATCATATAATTTTGTATCTGGCTTTTTTGTTTAAGGCAAGTATAAATTACATAGCAATTTACTAAGTAAACACCGTTTTAATGGAATTTTAAATTTCTTTCTTTCTACCAATATCTATGAGGGGGTCATAAAAGTGTTTAGTAAGCCCCATGAGTCTTACAATAAAAGCCCCATAATGCTTATTAGGCAGTTTTTAATTATTCACTATTACACAAAGTGCTGTGAACATCTTTGCAATTAATAACCCAATTTTGCATTATGTCTTTAGAGTAGATTCCTAGATATAGAATTATTGATCCAAAGAGTATGATAAATTTTTTTTTTTTTTT